ATATTAATACACAACGCTTTATTGTTATTACTATCGCTTTATCTACTTGCTTTTTTGAGCGGGTTGCTGCTATATGAATCGCGAGCTAAGTGATTGATAAGCTAGAACGTGTGTGAAGGCAACATACATGAAGTCAATTTTAGTTGCACATCAACTTTGCAAACCCTAGCAAGAATTGAACAACGAAAAGTATGTACTGTTACTTTCAATAAAGACAAGGAAGACTAAATTTATATAGCTTTTTTGTTCTTTTCGACATTCCTTTACCAGTATTATCAGATTATTATAATCTTAGAAGTACCGGTTACCAATTCATTTTATCTTAGGTCTGAGTTAAGGGCTCCTTTCTAATCTATCTTCGTAATATTTGCTTTTTCAAGTTCTTCTATCAATTCGTGCACAACTTCACGTTGAGTACTAATTAACAATCCCGTTATCTCGCAATTACTGTTACATTTCTCTTTACTCTTCTCTTAATTACCTGATTAGCAACTGCACTTAAGATGAATGTATATGGCTACTATTTTTATGCAGTTGCTTAGAAAAATAGATATCTCCTAGCAAGGGGTATGCTTTGTGCTGGTTCGCATTGCAGTGTACGCTTTTCGCCATCTTCGTTCTTTATGGTCACTTCATAAGTCTCAGGGTCCACTGAAACAAAGCAGAGTCAACTGATAAGATCAGATGAACCAATTAAACGTCTGCTGCGACGGTACGGCGCCGTTCCTACCCTACAATTGCCTTACTTACTAAACACAGTGCTCATCTAAACGGTTTTTTTTTTTAAATCAAGGCTTGCCTTTAGACATAAGCTATGCCTCTAGAATGGTGAGAACTCCCGATTACTTTTGTGCATAGTTCCTTGTTCGTGTTACCGCACTTAGAAAATTACCCTTAAGTTTCCTTCAACATTTTCAACAATTCAACAAATTAAGTAAGTTTATTTACAATAATTTTCACCTTACCTATATACTAGCATTTGCATTGCAGTGGCTCCAGCAACATGTGCGGTTACATTAAGTCGTTTATTTTGAAATCGCTATATTCTATCGAGATTATTACAATTTCATACTAGCGTATCATGCAGATAACAATATTAGAGACCCCAAAACAAAACGTACCAGCTATTTGCGGCACGTAATTGTTGTAGAGCATATCCTGCTTGCTCACCGTGCGTGTCCCTTTTACCGGCCTCATTTCTCTGCGAACCCTGTACAAAGCTCGGATGTCGGTTGGCGCAGTTAGTGACGCCTCCGACACGAAGTAGAGAGAGTTACGTGTCACGGCGGTTCCACATGATCCGAACATTTGTTGGAAATTCATAGGTTCCGCCGTTGGAATCGATGCGTTTGCTGGGCCTGAACATATTCCAAAAACCGCACATGAAATAAAATGTTTTATGGTCTTGGAAAGGGTCGTCCTGTAGACACGATTCGCTCAATGAGACTTAAAGAAGCTGGTAGTTTGTTGTTAAAGTATTGCATTCTTTACACTTATGAAGAAGAATTAGAGGCGATTCGCAATCAGATGGTATGTTGATCGCCAAAAAAAAGCCGAATAAAAGCGGCATATTGAGTGCTAGAAATTAAGTGTAACGAAATTTTTTTCGCACATTTATAGTCGTTTCTTTTTTTTGCAAACAACTTCTTGGGATAATCTATTGCTAGGCTTAGCACTAAGGATTTGCCCCCATTACTTTTAAATTTTTGTTCTTTTTTTATCTTCTTATTATCCTATTATCATCTATTAAGGTATTGATTTTTGCCAACGCTGAGATTTGAGCTAGAGTGACACAGTAATGGTCTTTTTTGAACAACGCACTTCTAGAGATGTGTATTAGCCATCCAGACCACGCCGTTCCTTTGGAACGTCAGTAAGCTCCAAAAGTCAAGTATGCAGGCTTGCGAGATTTAAGACGTTCAAGCTTTCTGACGTGAGACACTTCTGAACTGACGACATGAAATAGAATTTTATATTCATACGTAGAAATTTGGTTTGAGTAATAAAGCTTTTTTCAGCTTGAATTTCATGTCAGTTGAAATAATCCGGCTTTACTCTATCCAAATTGAACCGTAGATTATTGCACCAAATGTGATCTTTAAAAAGATGGTACGTCACAACAACTTCAAATGTGTTTCTAACTATAATGCTATGTTGCACAATTATTCAATAATTTATGCATAATCTCTAATTGTACCTATGTTTGCCGTGACGATCTGTCCTCCTTTGATTATAAGCTCCGGTTTGACTCCAAAAAATGCCGGGTGCCACAGAACGAGATCCGCGTACTTGCCTTCTTCAACACTGCCCACGTAATCTATGGAAGTAGACAGCAGACTCATTTTTAGCCGATTTATTACACAAAATGATTTATGCGTAATTTGGCGTCAATACAAGTTGACGTATGATTAGTATGCGCAGTAGTTTTCTATCTTATGTTACGCTTTTTTAGATTAGAGATGAACACCTAATAAACTCATAATTTATGCCACCACAGCCGTGCAGACATTAGCGGTTACCATCCTCCTAGAGTAAGCCCTAACAAGTAGATACAATCTGTGCTAGAATTGGACTTACCAGCTATTCCATGTGCGCGCGCTGGATTTATCGTGTATTTAGCAATGTATCTTTTGACTCGGAAATTATCACTATTTGTTTCAGCATCTTCTGGTAGAGGCCCATATTGTTCCTTCATTTTGTGGGCTGTTTGCCATGTCCGGCAAACAGTCTCTCCAATCCGGCCCATTGCCTGACAGAGTGGAGTGCACATGTCAAACTATTTACTTGGCAGTCTTAATACTTGGTAGAGTAGAATTTCCATTACTACCCCAAAAAGCATTCATGAATCCATTCTAACTGCAATGGGTTAAATATTTAATTAAAAGTTGTCACTACGAAGATTATCATAGTCTTCTTATAATATAAGAATACAATATTTTCCTGGTGCATATAACACCTTGAAATTAACGAAACGTTTAAATAGACAAACGTCTAATCAGGAGACCCATCGAAAAATTATTATAGTTAACCAATTTACCTGACTGTCGGAAGTGAACAGTGAAATGGCTCCCAAATCATGAAGTATGTCCTCAGCGGATACAGTTTCTGCACGCATGCGAGACTCTGCAAATGCTAGATCTTCCCGAATATTCCTAATGAGGAAAGAATAAGTTTTCACTAAAGGGTGCGAGTGCATTCATTTTCTTTCAAGATACAAAACAAGTTTGGTTTTTAAAAGAGACTCACGGATAACCAGTGGCCATTCCGCACTGAAACGCAAAGTAATTTCTCTTCGCTCAGTATTGGTTCCGTCGAATAAAGTCAAATAAACGTTGAGCTCTTTGGCGTCTGCCGAATAAACTTTTAAGAAACACGTACATTTCGTAATTAAACGTTTTTGTATGCGCAGCATCATGGTCGACAACGAGCAACCCTATAATAAATTTGACTCTGTGGAGACAACGTATCTACACGCTTTGTGTTCGAGTAATTTGGCGATATGATTAGTTATAATAGGGTTAGCTCAAAAGTATGGTTGTATTGACACGATCGGCACCTTTGCCAAGGTTTATGCAGGTAATAGCAGATCGAAAAAATGCTAGGTAGAGAATCATACAACGCATAGTAACCCTACTATAGTAGAATTTGCAGAAGTAATGCCGTAGACACACTTGTCCAGATGATGACAAATCATTAGCATATCAATGACTTCGTCCATAGTGTTGACGGTGTATGGCCGTGTGGGATTCGTCGATGAAGGAATGATATGCTTTTCACCGCACACACGAAGTAAATCAGGAGCGTGTCCTCCGCCAGCACCTTCTGCGTGATAGGCGTGAACGGTGCGATCACGAAAAGCCCGTAACGTATCCTCTACACAGCCCGCTTCGTTCAAGGTATCTGTATGTATCATCACCTGTGTACGATTGTGACTGTAATTCGTTAGCACGTTGAATATCGTCTTAGTTTTAGAAAACGGACTAAACAGTGACAGATAGCTCAATTTTAACTGCAATACCATCGGATGCTGGTGAAAATGATAACGCACAACCGATTTCGTAGTTTTTTGATATCATATAAAACGGTAATAAAATCATTGAAACGCATAAATAAAAATGCAATGGCATGAAACGTAATTTTTATTTGAAAGATTGGTACGATCGTCCTGTTTTCGGTCCACACATGCCTGGATGTCGTGTTTTTCGGCAACACGAAGACAGGAGTCAATAGCCGAAGGCGTTGTCCCCCAGTCCTCGTGAAGTTTTAATCTGCAATAGAAAAATCATCAGACATAAAAAGGACAGCGTCACAACAACACTGATGTTGACGGATTGTACAAATTAGCAGAATCTATTGCTAAGAATTGCATTAGTTGGCAATTTAAATGCAGTCATATCATTTCATGGAAGTGACATAATGCCATAATAATTTCGCGCAGCAAAGGACCGACATACATGACATGTAGTCTTCTCATTTAATTTTTCATGGTGCAACTCACCGGTGCTTCCAAAGTGCTGGCATGCTCTATCATAACCATTCTCCTGTATTAACCACTCAATGATTATAGTTATATTTCTAAAAACGACGTCAAGTTGTTTTGTTTCCTTGCTTTTCTCGGGTCGTATGAATTCATATATATATATATATATATATAGAATTTTATGCATAAAAAAAGCAGATTTATTTTGGAGTCCTTGCGAGAAAATTAGTTACTGTTATGGCTCAGAAGTGACCTCCAAAGAGGTGTGTGTGTCACACCATATTTCTTAAAGACTTCTACACAGAGGTCGCAAAAAGCCTCCACAAAATCCGATTAAGATCTTGTTCTCGACATAGCTTAAAATTCTAGAATTGTGCCTATCACATTCACCTATTTTGAAAAATAACAGGCTTTTTTTTGGCAAAGTTACCTATTCCAAAGGACAATTGGCTGATTTTTTTCGGGAAGAGTATTAAAATATACGGAAGGGGTTGACTTTCTTGGTATATCTCGATTTTGCGATTCAATGCGATCCGAGAAAATACTAAGGTTTCGAAATGTGTTAACTGTAACTTCCAAACGGCGAGGTCTTACCGCAGAAGCCCACTCATTTACAAACTTTTTAAGGTGAGGCCTACGGGTCAAGAGTATCGTGGTTTATCTCGCTCTTTGAAAGCATGAGACATACAACATCAAATCCGTACTTTTAATACAGTATATATACCATATGCTAAAATCCATCACAGTAATAAATGTGGAACGAAAGTAATTTATTGAAGCGACGAGTAACCGAGTAAGACCGGGTTGTAGAATGTGCCAAAATGTACAAAGTAATACAGCAAAGGTTGCTGTTTCCAGCGTTTTAGGAACCATGAAACAGCCCAGTCATACGATGTTTGCTTAGACCCAACAGCGGAAGCAAAGCCAATAAAAGGCTTGGACGTGAAATTTCAAGAATCAACAAGGAAGCACATACCCCATAGCTCCAGCTCGAATCTGGTCTTCGAGTTCGGGCGCGAGCGTCTCCGGATTTATAGAAGAACAATTTCCCTTTCCAGTAAAGCCAATATTGACAGGGAATACGTCACAACTTTCGAACATATTTCTGAAATTGATATCACGCAATTTTTTTATGCTCTAAACAAACAAAAAGGTCTTTGCTAAGGCACCTTAAATAAACTCAAAAAGTCTGCAACTGGGAGTTGCATTACCTTATATTGTTAGGTCCTGGCGTACATGTGGTGGCTCGAGTCCCTTGGGTTGGTCCAGTGCCTCCACCAATTAGCGTAGTTACTCCACTCTAAAATGTGAACAAGCTAAATGGTACTCTGATGTTCTATCTTATGTCACTGATGATTTAAGCTATCCCAGTGGAACGACGCGGCTTGCATAGAAGCAAGTTGTCTACGACTGCTTGCCAAAACAGGATTAATACAAGGGCTACCAAACAGCTTATATATGTTGCATTTGTTGCTTTTAAAACAGCATTTGACAAAATCATGAGCGTCTGCATTTCGGTTAAGTTCATCAGGGCAGGAAGTTCTTAAAAGCTCACACAGTTCACCGCTTCGATTTTGCAGGAGTACCCCCTTACAACGCACAATGGCGTAGGAAAGTAAACGCTCTGCAACAGATGACAGAAATGGCCCAGGACCATAACTTCAACACCTTGCCGCTATCAGTTCTCCTGAAAGATCTCCCAAGCACCATGATCGGTAAGCCCAAAACTGTCAAAGCGTATGTTTATGATAATTTCGATTTACGTAACAGGTCGCTTTGAGGTTCAATAGACATTGGTTAGCCTTGACCAAAATGTAACGAACCTCGCCTATAAATTAACTTGGACAAGATCGAAGCTATGCAATTCCAAAAAGTACGGCCACCAGCAGCAAATAACATCCATCACCCTTGAAATGCATGAACTATTTTTGGTTTTTAAGCCTGATTTTGTTCTGGCACGGGACTCGTTACACCGAGCGATAACAGAACACGTTAGAAAAACGCTAGTAACGATTATGTATGAAAAGTTATCTCTCTTTAAATCTGGCGATACGCTTTCTCAATAGTAACCTCGCACCAGTGGCCTTAAATGGTATCAAACTCATATAGGATAATCCCAGAGAAGTCAAAATATTTAGATTGGACCGCGTGAAGCCTCTTTTTCTCAGGAGAGCACTGGGCCTGCATACGCTCAGTTATAATGTCTACATATATTTGCTAACGGATACCCAACTATTTATCGAAAATCACCAACACCTGTTTGACTTATCAAAAACGCCAGCTTACTTAGAATCTATTCGACAACGAGAGGCACAAATGGTTGAAGTCGACCATGAATTGTTAGCCATTAGCTCTATACTGCACAAAAGGAACCACAGGCAAAGAATTCACATGTGGTGTTCCCTTGCGCAGCACATGGCTTTCATCGTACCGTATGTACTAATGAACCTCAGCCGAGAGCTGCATTTCTGTACGTCACGGAACGCCACTGTGAGGGATATCACCTAGCCTCACGTAAAAGGACGGCTCCCTTGAATAGTGTGACGTAGAGAAAAACAGCGCAGTCGTAGCTTTCTGTATTATGCATTTGGTTTTATCTCTACTTGAGCACAGCATTCTTGAAATCTTCCTACTGTTTGTAAAAATACGCACCACAGACGCTGTTACATCCATACCTCTAGTACGAATGCTCTGTGCCAGCTTCGCTGACCGAGAAATCTACGTGGAATGGTACGGACTGACACTGAACAATTCCGAATCTGTTCACGTTTTATATTTGTGAAGATAGATGGTACATGATCTCTCCTTGACGGACTAGGAACATACCAGACTAGTTTTTCCATATTTTTTACATGTTCACACTCACTTGGAGAGCTTGTTCAATGAGCTGTGGACAGATATAATGGACGTGGCAATCAATGGCGCCTGCTGTGATAATCATTCCTTCAGCTGCCACAACTTCAGTGCCCGCGCCGATCACGAGAAGAGGGTTCACATTTGGCATAATGTCTGGGTTACCCGCTTTTCCAATCCCGATGATTTGATTGTTCTGTACTCAACAGATATCGATTTATAGCATAAATAAAGCACATCAAATTTTTAGCTTCAATGAACATTGATTGCCTTAAATCAAGTAGGGATATTTTCAGAAGGTTATCAAATAATAACGCATGACATAACACTGTTATGAGCCTACATTTTATTTATTTAGATTTGAAGCCGGAGCTTGTATCACTTCGACGGTGGAGGCTCATTGTTGTAGTATCGTTCGTAGAAACCGCTTATAAAAATGATTACCTTGATACCAATATCCGCTTTGATTATTCCAGATACTGCGTCGATGATAAGGGCATTTGTCAGGACAAGGTCGAGTGTACGATCGCTATTGTACCCTACAGCCTGGCCCATGCCGTCCCTAATAACCTTGCAAATATAGGATTACCTAATTATTGTTTTCCGCCTCTCACACTAAGTTCAGCTATTTACTGCTTAAGGTTGTCACCTATACTGCTCAATGGTTAGGAAAAAAATAAACATGGCGTTACTGTAATGGTTCACATAATACGACTGTTCGATATATAGAATTTATTTTAAAAACTGGAAGCAATATAACATCATTTGCAGCAGTTCGGATTGCGTAGATTTCGACCAATGAGTTAACAAATCACGAAAACGATCTTTAAGGTTGGTAATTTGTGAGTATTCTTAACATTCTGCAATATGCAATACGTAAGGTAGTTGCGTGGACCTTCAACACTGTCACATAAACAAACTAAAGAAAATGTTTATTTATTCAGTCACACTTGTCGTAAAGTACACGTCTTGTTTGTACCAGCAAAGATAATGATATTATATTATATTCATTATATTAATACACCTACCTACAATTTTAGAATGAGGCATGAATGAATGCGGCAGTTGTAAAAAAGATGGCGCAGTTGTTTCAGAAATTTCTGACAGGCTATCAGGACTCATAGGATCAAAGGTGCAAAACGCTTTTTCAGTTTCCTGCACATTCCAAAATATCGATTATTCCATACGATACTAAATACACTTACTTGAGTCCATATATTTTGTTAAAATTCGTGTAAGGATAAGCACAATTATATTGTTAAAATGTACATTTCTTTTTATACTAGGTTAAGTGTACTTGACAGTTTAATTATCAAGATATCCATAACGCATTTCGGTGGCCATGAAGCATCGCAGAAGAAAGTCTGATTAAAAACACAGATAATGTTGTATCTTTTGTGTGTGTGCCGTGTGAGTTTCGCTAGCACTACAGCTACTGCTCTGAAAACAGCCTAGCTAATAAACAAGGCCTAATTATTATAAAAGTCTTCGAGTCCTGTGTCCTGCGAGTCTTTATTAGGCGTAAATACATTGTAACAAACATATATAGTAATTGTTTCAGGTTTCATGTTCGAGACCGCGTAAACATTACTTCAGAAAGTGGCTGCTCTCTGGTTCGAAGCAAATAGGCGTGCTCCAAGGCTCAGTTCAAAACTTAAATACTCCTAAATATACAGACAGACCCGTTACCTACTAAAACGCTGCGTGAGACAAACATCTAAAGCACGTTTCGACTTCGCAGTGCATCAAACATTTGTTCCTTTTTTTGCGTCAAGTATCACCTACGTTGAGCATTGCTTTAAACGGTTGGTTTCTAGGATAAAACAAAAAGTGTTCATGCCCGCATTCGAAACCGTGTTCTTATCGTGTAGTAATCGAACCTGTTACCATTGCACGATCGTACAGACGTAATATAAATACCTAAAGAAACAAAGCTAATTCGAAGTTACCTTGCCGCCTCCAAATTTCACTTCATCGCCATATGACCCTGTGTCCGATTCCACCTTTATAAAGAGGTTCGTATCGCCCAGTCGAACTCGGTCTCCAGCTGACGGTCCATAATTTTCTGCGTAGGCATGTCTATTATGGCAGGGAACACAAATTATCCATAGCTAGAGGTTAATGTAAAATAAAGAAATTACTAATCTTTTAAAGAAATATATTTTCATAAAGCGTAAATAAATAATAAAATGAAAATTGCGAAATTTCTAACTTCCACATTTAAACTTTTAATGGATTGGATATACATTACGTTTGCTTTTTGACTGAGCCTATTCAGTCTTTTAGATTGTCTGTTTTTGTATTCAGTTAAAAAGCAATCTGTTATTAAGGGAGAAAATTTTGAAGTGATGCCTAACAAATTCATGATTATGAACTGAACACTGTTGAAATTGAAGAAGAATTTCGAATTATATAAAAGGTCACCGTTTCATCTCTAGCGGCACGTCGATCGGTTCTCTGGCTGCCTTCTCGTTTGCGTTACGAAACCCATGCACGTGGACCGTATCCAGGGCACACGATAAACGTTCGTCGCTAAGAGGACCTAGTGAAATGTTGTTTCCTCCATAGATTCTTCTGAAGTCGATGGAAAACCCATGAAAGTACTTTTCTCTAAGACTTATTAGACCCGATAAAACCACTTGCAGTATGATCTTTTAAGAAATTATTCGCTGGTTTACTTGAAGGGTACTTCAGGATTTATTTATCATTCACTTCAGCAATATTAAAGATTTAGAAAATACCGCCGACTATATGAAGACATGTAGAGTGACATAATCGGTATCCCAACAAAAACTGCGATTGTTTTTTCTGTATCATGTAACGAAACCACGTTTACCTGGAGCTTAGTCGAAGTCAATAAATTGCTCAGAGTTCGTCATAATAAAAGTATGTTATTTTCAAAGGCAAATTGGATTTGATACTTGCTTGTTTCCGGCCAGTTCAACAAGACGGATCCTCTTCGTATCGCCTGGCTCGAATCGAACAGACATCCCGGAGGGTATGTCCTGCGGTTTAATTTAGCTTAAGCTTCTTTAGCCAACGTTAAATGATAGATAAACCAAAAAAACTACAGACATACGGGACATACCTCACCGTTAATACCAATAAACGCCTAAATGCTTGGAGTGTTACGGCCAGCGCTGGCGTTTTATCAGACCAGTCAATTACTACGATACATTTAAATCAGCGCCTATAGAGTTTAAAAAAATGTAGCCGCTGGTGTATTGTCAAACCTGAGGTCCCGCGCACTTCTGATAAAAGTATGCATATGTATTATAATTAAAATATCTGATTGGGCAGCAATTACGTGAGATGTTATGTCAGTAAGTAGTGTTTCTCCATATCGTCTTTTAGATAGAACATAGCCGCCACATTGTAGTTTTTGGTGCGTGGTGGCTAAATTATAAGAAAAATTTAAGCCCCTTGGACCCATGTTTTTTCTTGGCGCAGGTCTAGAACCAGCATACCTCGACTCTGCAGGGTCGATATAGTTGTCCAGAATCATACAGCTTTTCACGAGTGACATATATCTTGTCTGTGTTCTAGAATAACCCGTAGTATCACAAAAGCGTTCCCACATAGAGATTCGGAAAAAAAAATTTTGGCCAATTGCGTCCCTTTTAACACCAGTTCGGCCTTTAATGATAGCTATGTATAGGTAAAATCTAGGGACATTTGTCACTGTTGCCGTGAGTATGCGGCCAGCGCTGATTCAAATTTCAGTTTTACCAAATTATCACTTCGGCATTTCATATGCGCTTCATGTACACCTTCTAGTGAAGGCACCTCGTTAACGTCACACCAAAAGCCCTATGCTTCGAGACAAAGCGTTCTTTCTGATTCGTCTACTAAAGGAGAGAACAATTGTCTGCTAGGTAGTGTTTCCTAGGTAAGGCAACAGCGACAGTTCGTAGTTCGCACAGGGCACTCAGCTACGGAGGCTAACGTATTGAATAAATGTATATAAAGGTGTATCATGATCAGTATGAAGGGAAATCAAATGAATTTCTGTTAAATGCATGCATGCTCCATTTTGCGCTGGGAGCGCGCCGTCTAAAATGATAGTCAACGCCAACACTAGACGTAACACTCCATTCATTTTCATAACGTTAATCTTAATTTGTGTAAACTTACCAGGCGCATTCCATAAGCTACGGCACGGTCGAAAATAAGATTGGGATTGGCTTCGATGAACGGGAAGTGCGACCCAATCTACCGAAATAAAAAGAAGGAGGTATTGGGGTAACAACTTTTTCTATCAAATTATCAGTATTAGTTCTTTAGGTATAGCATCAAGCATTCTCTCCTAGTAAGGGGTAAATCTTGCTGACATTATCTAGGGTTTCTGTAACAAACCCACAAACACGATTTGGCAATCATATGTTAACCAGCTCCTAACGCTGAGATCTGAACCCACGATGATCGCATGCATGCCCATTACTCACCAATCTATGTCGGTCTGTACCAAAATCCACTACAGTCACAGATGTTTCAACAAATCATTGTGTACAATTAAACGGCTTATCTAGATCATTTCATTTATAGTCGAAAAGCGGTTTAAATACCTGGATAGGTCTGTCGCAGACACTGGTAACTCTTAGCTCTCGCTTAAGGCGGCCTTCGTTGAGTACAAGGGATGTATCATCGGTAAGAACCTCACCTGAAATCAATTTGTTTTGGGCATACATAGGAATTTTATTTATTTGTATAGCTATTCTTTCAATGAGACCGTTTTAGTGCCAAGTGTTCGTTTCGATACAGTAAGATATAAATATGTTAATTAATACCCTTATTGCAGACACAAAAGCCAAAAAGCAAACCGTTGCTATAGTGGATATGGTGAATATAATCGTAATGTACAGCGGTGTGTGCTTCGAATAGAAGGAGGTTATCCGCCTCAAAACGCAGGAGCTCTTTAAGGCGGATCGGAGATGTTGCCTTAAGCGCTAGAGTTAGAGATCACGGTAGGAATCTTTGCCAGTTCGCAACGGGTAGGGCGATGTTTCTTTGAGTGTAAAGCTTAGTAAAAAAACATTGGCAGGTGCACGTTACCTCTTACAGGTACTTTCATGACAGGTTACATCGAGCGGTCGGTGTCAATCATTATGGATTGACACCACCAACATCAAGTTGGGATTTTCCTAGTTACGTTCTTTGGCTACAGAAAAGCGACCACCATATTTCTGCGACAACGTTACAGAGGTTCTTTGTTAAACTTTTAGTCGATCGCGTTCTTCCCTCAAATGCCAGATGACTGGCGGCCCGTATCTACATATTATTCAACGTACGTATCAAGACTAAAAGTACGCAACCTCCTCGAGCGCACTATCGTACATTCATGCCGAAGTTATCATCGAATATTAAAAAAACAATATAAAATCTTACTGCGCATCAAATAGAAATCGTTTAGTAGACAATAGTGTCACTTGGAAGTTGAGAAACTCTTCAAACAAATAAAGTTCCTTTCATCACTAACCGGGTTTGAATATATCATGCCCATTTTCAGTGTTATCTTGCGGATTCACCGACTCCCCTTCAATCTCCGATTCCTGTAATTCTGTATCTTCTATCGAAATGCCCAACGCAGACTTTTGAATAAAGCTTCCATAGAGTGCCAAATCAAATGGCAGCCTGGCCTCGGTAATGGGATAATTAAGACACACCTGAGAATAAGAGAAAAGCATACAGCTTTGGCCAGTTTGTCAAGGTTTTGGAACTATGATGGGATTGGCTAGCTACGGGTACGCTAAACCCCCCAAGTTACCCATCATACAGTTTCGAATACGATAGAAAACAAAATAATAAAAGTATATTAAAAATTCGTGTTTTGCGAAAGTCTAAAAGCAACTTACCAATTTGGTTCCATCATCGAAGCAGGCCTCAATGGATAATTCGTGTATCATTTCTGCCACACCTGGCATAACGTGGTTTCTTCCTAGAATACGGCTCCCCCTAGCCGTCGTCTCAGCGACGCTTAGACCATCACGTGCAAATTCTTGCACCTGAACGTAACGCAATCTTCCATTAAAAAAAGCTAAAATATATGTAGTACTTGCTACATAAATGCCAGTAAATATTAAAAGCGTGCATGCTTCAATTTCGTCAAACACAGCAATTCCTAAAATGCAGTTCGCGAAATGGCTGATTTTATTTATTACCATTTTGTAAGGGGAAGTTGATGGTTTATTTTTTAAATTTAATTTCTAATACTTTGATTAGACGACTGCAAGCGCGAACTGCACACATAGCAGTTGAAGGAAAGGATGCCCATCGAAGGGTTAAAAGATCATTCACTTGAGTGTTTTTACCTGAGAGGCAATCAGCGCTACAGCTTCGGGGTGGTTTAGCTTGAGACCACGGGCTAGTCTTTTCTGGGCAACCACGCCAGCTTGATGCAATACAAGTGCGTCAAGCTCTTTATTTGTTAACCGCATTTGTGATCTTGTCCGTGAAGCTCAGTCGTGTAGTAAGCCGCTAAATGTAAATCATAAACAAAAGCTTCTAGTATGTAAGTCTCCTGAATACTTATTTAGCGACTCAGTTATGCGGTAACTTGTTTCCTATTTGTCCAGTATGATACTGTATGTCTTATAGCTAACAATGATAGGATAATTGGTTCACGAAAATTGTATGTAATGTAAGAAATACGGTATATATAGGTTTTCAAACTCCATGGGTGGGTTTATTACTATAACACGATTACCATGTTATTATCTTCTCGTGCTATTTGCGATGCAAATAGGGCTTTCGATCAATTTAGAAAAGGAAAAACAGAAGCGTTAACCTGATATTAATGCGCAAGTATTAGAACACCCTGTTTTCAAATATTCTTCCAGAATATAGTCAAGGGTTTCCCTACGAATAAAATTTGAACCATCCGAGAGACCTATTATACGTCACTGTTCTGGAACTGTCTGAATTATTTTCGGCTTTGTTACGTTTGCGATACTATAACCAATGAGCTAGCAACCTTTGTTTGATGTACTCGTTGACATAATTCTAGCATGCAGCGTAAGTCAGTTTATCGTAATGAAGAAATACGTAGTTCCAATGGGCAAAACAAGCGTAACAGACGTCAACTTGCCAAACCTATTACGACGAATGCTCTGTAAACGCTACCGAGCAAGTGAATCCCCAATATACGCCCCAATTTACATTAAAAACCACACTCTATTTCGAATTTAAGACCATAAACGTCCAACAGTGCTTATTAATTAAATATTCATTTTTATTTGTTTTATGTTTATATTTGTGTTTGAATGAGCAAAAAAGCCTAGCTTAATAAATTACGAATGTGATGGCCTAAATAACTAATAGTTTCCATAGAAGGATTTCATCTTGATGGGCATTTCGATGCGCTTCCGGTCTCTATCTCGATGTTAGTAAATCGACAACTCATGTATATCTCTATTACAACAGTGCGTATCTTGCCAATTTACCGTATCTCACTACGATTAAGCTACTGTCTTACACTAGCGACTTACTCCTTGCAGAAGGTTAAAAGGAGGTCTCGATCGGAACAGCAGTACTTCAGGGCATACAGCCACGACCCAATCAAATGTAAATCCCGATGTCCATCTAACCAATAACACAACAGTCAACACGATTTCCACAATTTTGTGTTACCATACGGGTTTAGATCCAAAGAAGTGCCGTTTTTGCCGCAGATGAGTTAGTCAAGCAGCTCTTGCAGTGGTTTAAGTTAAAGGGAGCTTGATAAAATGGAAGCCAATGTGCCTACACTTCCAAAGACGCTAAAGAACAGCGAAAATGAACGCTGACGACCCCCAAATATTGACGCTGACTGCTGATATGATTCGTTCCAAAGATATGTCGCCGTTGTAACTATGACGGACACGACGCTAACTTGTAAAATTATATTTGGACACTGTTTAAAGCTTTCAGTCAAACTATCAAGATCTTGTGGGCAGACTGCCAGTTGAAAGCAGGCTGTAGTAGGAATAAGCGGCATATTTTACTGCCCTGTGATATCGCAATGGTGATTGCCAGGGCACATAACCTTGCCGTTTCGTGATCACAGATCGTAGAAATAACAAAGCACAATAGACATTATAGTATTGGCGAATGGTAAATGTTCAGTTCTTGTTGAAATTATGAGAATAATACAATAAGATAGTTGCAATTTCTACAATTGGAACCGATGGGGAAATATTCTTGCAATAATAACAAACAATAGAAAATTTCTTCAGCTCAAAGTAAGTTTGATACAACACACAACAAGCCATGACGGTGTTAAAAACGCAGTAACACGTGCTTTAGAAAGTATCTAACTCATTGTTTGTACTTTGCGAAGGCGACTAGGACATACAGAAATAACTATACGTCATGACCGACGCCTACGTCGTAGCGCGGATGTAACCGTAACGCAAAGCATATCCTAATTCTCGAATACTGACCAACTTCGACTAGTGAACACGACTTCTTAAGCTGTGATTAGTGTCATCATAGCCTCCTAATAATATCATTCCGATTTCAAGAAATGTCAAACCCGATGAAAGGGCGGAACTGAATGACAAGAAAGAAACATCGATACATTCATTCGACGTGGCAGGATGCAAAAAGCTAAATGGAACGTGGGCATAATAGGGCATTGATTATTTGATAGAATTTCAGCATAGACAAGATCTGGCAAAGGCCTATTTTGGAAACAGTTATTCTATCTAAAAATCACAGCCTCTCATGTCATAGGCTTAAGCATCATTTTCTCTCAGACTATAAATTTAAGCAGAAATCATAAATTAAAAATAAGGCAGACCTTTTATTACTCGTTTCGAATCATTGCCTCAGGGTTATCTTCAAGGTTTAGAAATGAATTAGTTGTCATTTGGGGGCCGTAAACATTTTGAAACGCCGACCTCGGCTGCCCTAACCACTAGACGTGAATCTATGGCACAAACTTGCAGTTTACAACAAAAGTCTGTTTTCACCTGTGTCTAACCATGTGCCACAAAATAATGTATCAATTAAATAAATAAACGAAACTGTGTTTAGTCACCACCAAGGCATATCGTGATGACGTTCTGTACTAGTACAGACGGCGTGTCTTGAAATCATCTTAGCCTCTTTTATTCAGAACAATGATAGCGACCCGGTAAAAATCACTGAATCGTTGAACGGTGATTTGATGTTAAAAAAGGCTCTTTGTGTTTCCGCTTGCAAACAATATCATTGAGCAAATAGCTTAAGTTACGGCATCGCATAATTATGAATTAGGCGTCCTGCCCGACCGTAGCGCCATGGCAATCGTATTCAGCGCGTAAAACTTTTCTATTTATTTTGTCGTAGCAGAAATTCTGCTGCGAAATGTTATCTACTCTTTAGGTTTGTGGAAGGATGAAGGTTCGGAGATGTGATTTATCATCAATCATACTTGGCCTACGTCGTCCTTACGTAGGTTATTGTTAATATATGCCTTGATCTCACAGATATTTAGACAAGACATAATCTTTCTCTCGGGACCTACTGTATACATGTTTAGCTGTCATAGCCAAAAAATTTTGTATGTATGAATAAACTGACCTAAACGAAGGTAAGTGACGAACCTCGGCATACTTTTTTACGAACTTCAAATAGTGTGTGAAATTCAGTTTAAATGGATGTGTGAAACATTCCTTTCCTTTAAACTATGACGACTTACCGTCTATTCGCTTTTTTGAGGCTCTTTATTCTATAGGGATTCGTACATACTGCGCTGTTGCACGAATGACTGAATCCGCCTAAACAATGGTCATCTATGTAGCGACCAGTAACATAGCTAATCAAAAGAAGCACAAAGGGGCATTTTTTCTATACAGCGTCGGCAGATCGATAACTGGCCCATACAAATCCTCTCATGGATTATGTTATTATTGCACGCTGTCGATATAAAACTATGGAGGGCTAATTCCCATTGTAATTGAAACAACGAAAGTACAGGGCTTGTGTAGTACTGAAAAAGTAAGAACACAGTTAAGAATGTGACTCGCGAGTTCGAGTAAAGCGTTTCTCGAAAAATAATACAAGTTACCTGATGATTCTTCTGAGGTTAAGAACAAGCAGCTTCGATTGAACAGTTACAGCGCTTGTAGCACAGAGAAGCCACGAGGCCACTGGCTCAATTTATATTAGTTGAAATTATCGGACGTCGTCCTATTTCTCTACCCTGTTTCAAACAACAAGTTATATCTCAATAGAGATATACCAAGACCGAATGTTTAGTACTGTTGCATAAAGGCTCCACTATGCCTATCGCTCAGCCATGATAATGAGAGTTATATATCTTTTGAAGACTGTATCATCCAATATGTCTTTAATCTTCACTTTGATTTTTTTGCAAGCATTTTAATTAGTGATACAAATTTTCGCAGAGTCCTGAGCCATAGTTGCTAAGCTCCAGCTAGACAAATGGACCTAACCTAAGACTGCAATGTACCGCCAAATACTTATTTAACCAAAGATGAACCGGCAACATTACGCTTAACCGAGCAATCGGTTGAAGTTTGTGATCAGCTGGACGGTACAAGTACGCTAGTTAACTAGTAAACATAGTCCGGTTAAAATTAGACCACTAAAAGACGTAGAGGCTTTTAGAGATATTTCAAGCTTCTAAGTTATATAGGCAAGTGTTCTTCCGGTTCAGAGTAGCTTTCCATTTACGTTTAGGCAAGTCAATAAGCTTTTGTTATTTGTTTTTTTTTTGCCAAATGGCCAACATATTGGAAAATCTTCTCTTTCGATTTCGTCAACATTTCATAGTGACTTTAGGTTCGATAAATACATATTTCTAGAGACAAAAGCTAATTAGCCCAGTTATATTTATTACGCTTTCTAATACCTTTATAGCTTCGATGCATAGACATATATGATAATTATTTGCCTTCTAGACAAACCTTAGGCAATCCTCGGCGAACTCAAAGAGCTGAGTAGAAGAGCGTTCTTTTGAGCACAAGATGCCACCACGCACCACTTTTCATTACTATTTTGAACTATATCGTCTTTACCGCATATGTAACATTTACACATGCTTATCTCGACGGACTTTTTGTTTTTAGTAAAAAGCGAACAACAAGGAAAGAGAAAATGTCGCGGTTATAATAGCAAACACGTCTTTTAGGCCTGACCTCAGGCCATCCGAACAAATCAATCATGAGGCGAAGTAAATGAGCACGCACAAAACTAAGCAAGCTAAGTAATAAACATCGACGGTAAGAAGTGACTGACAAGGATAATTAAATCGTAGCACTTTATAGACCCTAGGGCACTTCAAAATGGCGCCGTCGAAAGCAAATTGATCTCGAAATTTTGAAGCCTCGAAGGCATCGATCGGACAGCAGTCTATCATGGCTCTGTCTGCGTTCATACTAACTGGTTTTCAAATTCGTGGGGTCGGCTTAGTTTAATTAGACAAAAAGTTACCATTGAATTAACGTATTTACGTACGTAGCTTAGATTCTTTTTGAAATACAATGGTTAGTGGTACTGTTTTCAAACTATACTGGGTTTCGCACCATAAGGCAGGCCTTAAAGTCTAGGTGAGAGGTAGTATGAATGTTATTGTTGTGTGTTATAATGGGACGTGGCATTGACTAGACGAAAATAACGGATAGTGTAGGCGGCCAAAGCCCACACGAACAGCGTCAGAGCTAAAAATGCAGCCTGAAATGTTGTGCTTTTGTCGGTATAAAGGGGTGGCCAATGTCCTATATATTTGTAAATAAAATACAAGTATACGTGAGCTGCTTTTCTTTGTGTTAGAACTCGTCAACACAGGTAGTTATATCACACCATGGTACTACACATAAAATTGATAAATAAACAAATAGAATTAATTTTCAGATATCGCTGGCAAAAAATTACGTGCTGAAATGCATATCATTCATATACATATACACGTATATTTTGTTGATGCTCTGATAAATTTTGTAAATGTAGCGTTTCTATTATAACTAAAATGAGTGGTCGATTGAGCGATGGCTGACTGCATCGCTACCGCAAACACAATTGTTTTTTCGTACGCCTTTTACCAAATGTTCTCCAGTTTATAAGTTGCACGATATTAACAAAGAAGAACTTGTTCAGTTCCGTACTCATATACAGTAGCCGGCCATTTGATCGATGTCAATTGTATTATGTGTATTACATATAATTTCATTTATCTTCTACCTTATTCAAACTATATAGCGGGTCATGGCTTAAAAAAACTATAATTATATGTCAATTTGCTCGAAATGTAAACGGTCGATAGAAAAAAGGGTCGTCGTTTCGTCTACGCTTACGTGGTTCATCTGCTTAGTCATTTTCTCGAGCTGCACTTCATCCTGCAGCTGTGTGTCACCAAAAAGAGGTCGACTACTTCACAACTTGGCTTATATTTTTGTCACATTTACAAACGGAATCTATTTTGCCATCGACAGATTACGGTATAGTTACCTTCTCTCTATGATCTCTGTTTACATGATCTAACTAAAGAGACTACTGATGGGTGAAAAGTTGGTACTCGAAGACATTTCTCCGAAGCACAACGCTACCGATTCGATATGTCACAACATGGATTCGCTAGAAGACCTAGGAGGGCGGATACTAGGGCCAAATGTTACGCCGGAAAATGACACTGAAGAAAAGCGTTAAGTTTTGTTGTATCGCTATAATAAGCTCAATCATACTGGAGTGCTGCCAAGAAGCCTCCTGTTGGCGTGGGGTTGTTGTTTGCAATGAAGGCTGTACCAATAGAAGTAGCAGATGCTATAGTTGAACTATTCGACTATGTTGGATATCGGATATGAAATAAGAAGCGTAGACTTAGTACGGAAACAATATTGCTGATCACCAAAAAAAAATTACGGATCTATCGAACGAATGGCATTTAGATAAATGCCGATTACAGTTCGACCTGTATAAATGGATGTTATCGAAGGATAACTGTAGCCTCGTTTTCCATCCTTTTTATATTTTCTCTTTTTCAGGAGTCGCTGCTAGCGGAAATCTTTTATGCACATTCCAGCCAAGTAGTGCATCGTGTCCG